GCAACCGCATTTTAAAAATACGTTTTTCTCCATTTATTGATGACAACTGGTCACGTGATTTGTCGAATACCACAAAACTGAATTAAGGACCTTTCTTACATGATTTACTATCAGTGTGCAAAGTTTCGACAATTTTCATCACATTTTCGCTTCAAAACAAAAATAAATGTATTTTCCCAAATTTACCCTCTGACCCAGGCCTTAACATGCCTGAGATCAACTGCGTGCTACGTAGGTCACCCCGGATGTGCTAAAGCACCAGACAGCAGCTTATTATATTTTATTTCTAGAGGTTTTGCGTAATATATACAAGTAACTCTAACCCTAAAGCAATTGGGCATTCTTTTTACAATTTATAAAAATCCCTAAACTGCATGCAAGAAAAATATCTATTTTTTGGATGCTATAAATTCATGTTCCCTATTTATATGTAAGCCAATGATTTTATCTGATACATAAGTTGTGGCCGGAATGTAAAAGTATCAATGGTCAGTTACATTTTAARCTCTTTAAATGAAAATACTATAATTGCAATGCTCTAAAAACAATTTTAGAGATGTCCAAAGACCTTTCCATTGTTTGAATTTAACTCTATTATCAGAAACTAATTTATTGGTTTTATATATATTTTCAGTTGTTTATTGTTCCATCAGACTGATTCCATAAGTCGTAGTTTCCGTTCGTCGGTTTGAATTCTCAATTCAACTAGCGTCTGTCCAGGAGCAGTAAAAAAAACGACCAGACAGACTGGTGGAATCAGTCTATTGTTCCATTGGCCTACAGATAGAAAAAAAAAACTTATCGAGGTAGGCCATGCAATGGATTGCAATTTCTTTAAGATTCTTATCACAGCAAGCTCGACCATGCCACAATGTATGTTRCTTTGAACTGTGAATGATATAAACCAAAGCATAATTTCAACCTATTTTCAAAATGATGTAAATATGAAGTCATTTCGTATATGTGCATTATGTAATTTAGCATTATGTAAATATGAAGCAATTTAGCTTTTAATTTCAGCATTTGCAAGAGCACCATATTATTTCAAAAAGTACATTTTTTGTCCCTTAATGCTCATAGCTTTTTATTTTTTTTTAAATATTAAGATTTGAAGAGATAGTTGAGGTAAACAGTATTTTTGATGAGAGAAAAAACAGAAAGTTTTTGAAAACTATACATAGAAATTTGACAGAAAATATAAAAGGTTGTCTTTAAATAAAGTTYCTTTCATTGATTACAACCACAMCAGGGTTCATGCTACATTTTCATCACAAAATTCCAGGATTCTTCAATYACTTTTTAAACACAAAAAAGGGTGTAGTTTCCAGCAGCAAATTTTATAATTTTCAAAATTTATTTAGATCCAAATTAAAGTTAAAAAAGCAACAAAAAGTTTCAGTATTATTATATATTCAAGGGGTATTCTAGGCATTTCAGGAGTTTTTCCTATTTTTAAGTTCCAGGAATTTTCAATGATTTCAARGAGTAGCATAAATCTTGGCATTCTCTGTCAGACTTGTAACCAGTCATTACTCTTTACTTTTYRATACGCTTGAAGGGGCTGAGAAAARAAGACTCCTGCCTTTCCCTCCCCATTCTCTTCATGCAGTGTGCGACTGGGTATAAGTCTGCATTCTCTGAGTGCATCTTAGACAGCTTATTGTACATTTGATGGGTATTTTAAATATTCATATGYTTATAAATGGGTTAGGGTTGTCAAAGTTGCAGACATATAGAAATATAGTTTGCAGTTTTGAATGAATATTTGAAAGATCTATCTAACTACATTCTAATACTATAAAATCTTAATATTAATAAATTCTTCTACCATATTTATAGCCATCTTGATTACTGTATAAATTGGGATATTGAACGTGGTATCTGATATGTACCCCACAAAATATCCTAAGCAATCTCTAATTGAGAATCTCTAGTATTTGCAAATCGCAAAGTGATGGTCACCACTGTCAGAGTTGCTGCATTGACAGGAAATGCCCTCAAAATAGTTGCAAGCATTCCCCGACCAAATCCATGGAGTCCTTCAGACTTGTAGGTTTTTTGGACACAATCGATATATCCATTGTAGTTTGGTTTGGGTCCCACACCATCTGCTTGGAATTTCGATTTAATGACATCAATTGGGTATAAGACAACCCATGAAAAAGTTCCTCCAAGACCTCCTGCGATTAAAAGTCTACCAGCACTAAGCTCATGTGGAGAGCTACCTTGTGGTGTTAACCAGTTACAAAACATGTAAAAAGAACCAAAGTACAATGAAAAAGCTGGGGTATCCCTCAAGAAGGTGATTCCCAAACCACGGAAACATCCTTTTAGACCATTAGTTTTGTAAATTTTAGCCATGCAATCAAAAGAGCCATAATAGTTCGAGCTGCTTCCTTCTCCAATGGTGTGAAAAAATATATGTTTGTATGCTTTATCTATGCCTTGCACTTGAACTCTTGTTTTCGCAAGTTCCATTGGTCCACAAATGATTGATTGAACAGCACCTGAAAGAGCCCCAGCAATGCATTCTCCTTTTAAACCTGTTAGTTTAAATCGTCGCACTGTTTCACCTTGCACACCAAATATAATAGCATTGATAAATCCTAGACCAGCCATAGGCGATGCCATTCCTCTGAAAAGACCTAAAAACTGAAAAAGAATGTTTACAATTAATGTATCAGTGAGTTTTCAGCTTTTATTGTATTCTCTATGATTTTTTTTTTAGGTTAAGAGCTTCATATCTTGTCCTTTCATTATTTTAAGAGTTATCCCTATTAGCTCTACTCAACATTAATCAAGTTGTTATATTCATCTTTAGTAATTAATCTGATTGAATTGCCCTATTGCACAGTGATGTCAAAGCATATTTACAAAGGAAATAAATGTTCTAAAACAATTTTATCTAGCTTAGAAATACACTGTGTATCATTGATTTCTAATGTCAACATTCTGTGAGTCAGACAGTCAACCTTYCCCCCTCTGGCAACCATTATCCTTAGCATTAAAACAATAGAACATGATTATTAGTGCCCAGGACTCTTCGGCCAGCAAGGTCTTAAAATGCAAGCACTTTTTTAATCCACATTAGGTTTTTAACAAGCGCTCGGAGATTTCCTCACCACTTTACACCAACTGGGACAACTTTGCTCCCACTACTAAAACTAAATGGTATGATGGCGGTCATTCAAGGAAATAAGACTTCTGAACGTTTTTGCTATTTGGGACAAGGTTAAAGAATACAAGCACAATCTCCACTCGGTTTTACCCSAGTGCTCGGCAATTTTCCAACAAGTTTAAATCGACGTGGGATCACAGCTTTGCTCCCGCACTGATAAAACTACAAGGGAATGAGACTACTGGACATTTTGGCTATTTGGAGAATGAAAAAAAACATTTTACAAGAGGTTGGATTCTGAGCTACAACTTTATAACGAGTTGATATTTCGAGAGACTTAGTTTTGAGTGGATTCAAGTGAATCTAGATCAAGAATCAAGAGCAAATACTTTTGATTGAACCTTCTGTCAAGAATCAATGGTCAGAGGGAATACTGTTTAGTGAATCTTCTATTGAGAATCAAGAGCGAATACTTTTGATTGAACCTTCTGTTGAGAATCAAGAGCGATTACTTTTGAGTGAGCCTTCTAATGAGAATCAATGGCCAGAGGGAATACTTTTAAGCGAATCTTCTATTGAAAATCAAGAGCGAATATTTTGCCTGCACATCACGCGCCGATGACCCCAGAAATTAAGAAGTATTTAAAATGAGTTTACACGCTCCCTCGGTCAACAAAGTCCTTCAGAACTGTTCAGTTAACTCCTTTTCGTACATTTCTAACATCTGAAATTAATGATTCTTTCACAATAGGAATTGGAATTATTTGACATCGATTTCACACTGTATCCTTGTTATTTTGCAAGACTTTGCCTACCRAAACAAAATGGTGTCAAAAACGTCACCTCGACTTTTCTCAAATGTCTCAGGACCACTAGAACAGGACGTAAAGAACTTTAATCTTAGCAAAATGACGAGCGAAATAAAATATTTAACTTGTATAAACAAAAAATATAAACGACATGAGAGAATTTAAGGACCTTCAACTATTTACTTACTATAGGTCAACAGTATTGTAAACTTAAGACAAAAAAAAAAAAATTCGAAAAACCTTAGTCGTGAACTGGGCACAGTAAGTTCTGGACATCGTGGTTCTTGTTTTATCTTGATTGCTCTCAATATAATGAATGGCTACTGTACCACTGGACATAAATCAGTTGAGGCACACCAAAACAAAATAGGTGCAGCATGTTTTGACTATCAAAATCATGGAAACATAATTATGCAAACAACGTTTGGCTATCAAAAATGCTACTTTGGTTTGGCTATCTTGTGTTTATCCTCTGTTTATGCCCGAGTGAGTCCTTTATTGACAAGATTATGGAAAAAACCCTCTCTTTTCTTCCAATACAATGTTTAAGACTGAGCTCCCAACAATTATGCAACGCTTAGAAATGCTACAAACAATGGGTCTYCAAACAAAATAAACCAAGCATAAAAAAAACTATCTGTTGATGAAATTGCTCTTATTTAGTAGTCAATAACCAAGCTTTTCCCTGTGATTTTTTTTTCAGTTTGTACATGGGATCAAGTGGTTAACAAATATTACATCATGAATATAAATATCCTGTCCTGTAGCACTCAGTACATGAACGTTTCACCCCTTTAGTSATTTTTATACTTGCAAATAACAAATATTTTATACTATCAATTTTTAGAAATATTTRCATGGKTGGCCAGAGGTATGAATTCTATCTCACAAGTGAGTGGTCTGCGACAAGTGAGATAATTGAACATGAGGAGTTGAAAGTCATTTCCAAGCAACCATGTAATGTTTTGTGTACTTTGTAAATATAACTATATGAACTTTAAGAGAGCAAAAGCTCAAGAATTGTTTATCAAAATAGCAAGCCAAGTTACTACTTTGCTATACAGTGATATATTTTACGATTTAGACAGCACAACTTTTGCCTACAACCATTGCTTGCAACCTGCTTAAGTCATCCTTAACAACATGGCTACAACTGTCATGGGGCTGTTGAGCAATTTTTTTAAATCCCTACGACAGTTGTAAGGACGACTTACGCAGGTTGCATGCGATGGTTGTAAGCAAAAGTTGTGCCATCTAAATCGGCCTTTTAATAGAAAGATATACAGTTGATTTCAAAAAGAATGTGACTGAGATATGTTATCATCATAAACAAAATATTAATGAATGGATACATACACCCCAAGGCTTTAACCCATGTTTGGAAATAATCATCCAGGTTAAATAACTTCRAAGCTGGAGTTTGTGAAATTGTTTGGCATTTTTCACATTCTTTCAATTTGTATCGTTCAAAATTGAACAGATTTTTGATCAAAAAAACATGTCCTTTGTAGACGTTGTTGGGGTTTGGCTACACACTTCTGCATTTATTAGATATTTTAAAAATCTCGTCATAGATGTGTATATAAGTGCATATCTCTAACAACGTCTTTTTTGACATTCACCATAGTCATTTGGGATATTGACAATGCCAAGCCTATTAAACGAAAAGCACACCACTCACCGCATTAATTAAAATTTTCATTACAAATAAAATTACATGTAAGTRAGTTAAGTTTAATAGAATTATTGTCCATTCATATTATTACTTACTCCCTCTTTGTGTACAATAGTGATAAAGCAGTTTGCTACTCCTCGGTAGTGATGCGATTGAGTCTGTAGACGAACCTGTACAAGATACAGTATCAAGGAATTTTAGACCAAGATKGTTAAACTGATAACGATAAGCCTTAAACCACCAATACTGAYGTTCTTTTATAGGAATTTGATAGGGCAATCTATAKTTTTGGGGTACAGAAGGGCAAGAAACTCTCATGAAATAACAAACACACGCAAAATGTTAGTGGAAATCAAGCGATCAGTTCACGTAAGGGACGTAAGGTTAAGTAGTACTACTATCAATGGATGTTTTGCTACGTTGAATACGACGTACCTTAACGGTATCAAATGGATGTCCTACAACAACACCAGCAAGACCTGATATCAAACACAGAAAAAAAACGAGMYTTAAACTCGAAAATCCATAACACAAATTCACATTTAATTCATATAAAGCTTAAAACGTCACACATTAACGTTTTTGTGTTGACGGCTTTCTTACCTCCTAAGCATCCCGCAAAGAAGTCAAACGCCATTTTACGAAGTCAAAAGTTGWAGAAAACAATTACTCAACCACGAGGAAGGATTYCGAACTCCATTTTGTCGGAAATACAAAGTAAAAAGTCCAACGTACACAGTCAMCGCCGCGCTTTCTGTGGCATTCTGGAAATCCTGACCTCTCACGTACATCGCATGGCCGAATAGATTAGCATAAATTAGGGCGTGTTCAGCCACTCCGCCAATCGACAGCCAATCACGATAAAGCAATTTCAATAGAGCGGATTTCGTATGAGTGGGAAACGGACGGTACTGTACTGTGACCGTAATCGTACTGTAACCAAATTCTAGTGCCCCATTATTCCACCAAAATTCTGCAGGCCAGGTCTGGTAACTGTGCGGTAACCGTGCGGTAACGGTGTCCCACTCATGCGAAATCCGCTCTAGGTACTCGAGAGATAACAGAGGTAATATTTGAATAACGCGAAAAAAAAATTGCCCAAGACTTTTTCAAGACAGAATTGTCTGAACGTTGCCAACAGAGCTATTGTATTTTCTCGGTGAAGCCTTACCACAGAAAAAAATCTTTTCGCAAGACGTGCACATAGCTCACGATTTACTAAAAAATCTATATCCAAGATAATCCCACATTTATTGACTCATTGTTTGTTCTTATGGCATTACAATAGATGAAACAAAGGCATTTTATCATAATTTTGCTGCAAATGACTTCATCTGATCGTAAATAGCGTGATCCTACAAAAGAAAAAAATTCCGTTATGAAAAAACCTTTTTTTGCACGAAAGGCGTGATACTCAACAAAATATATCAACTAGTTAGATGAAAATATCAAAGTTGGAGTTGAGAACATTTTAAATACAGTTATATTCAGAAATTATGATCATTTTGACTCATATTTCAAGTATATATAAAATATATCAGAAATTGTGGGATATCGTCCCCGATATTTTTTGAAGTTGCCTAGCACACGTTTAGCACTTTCTGAATTTGAAATATTGGCGATGATATCCCATAGTTTCTGATATATTTTGTATATACTTGGAATATGAGTCAAAATGATCATAATTTCTGCATATTGCTGTATATATAACAAATATTTATATTTGATATCTGATGTAATTGTGTGAATCGTAGAGATGTCCGCGAAAAGGACTGCTGGAGGTGTCCGCATTTCAAGATGTGCCCGTGATACAGAGGTCGGAGGTCGGAATCATCAAAGCACACACCAAACGTAAAGAAATGTTCCGATATAGTTGCAATATAATCAACGTTTACAGAAGGTGAAAAACCATGTCCCCGTAGTGCAATGGCCAAATAAGTGAACCTGTGATCGCTAGAAGTTCCTGGCACAGTTCAGTACCCGAGATACTTTTTTTGGCGTTGTTTATGGTGTCGAACAATGCCAAACACCAAACGTGACCTGTGAGGCAGACGGGTGGTGATACCTGCTGTTTGTAATATCTCGCCAACACACAGAACTCAATAGCTGTTTATATTTGGAATTTAATTATATCCGCACTGGGGGTGACTTACTCAAGGAAAAAGATTATATATAGATAGGTTTAGGTCTGGCGGTAAATGAAATTTCTTTTAGATGAAAGATGGTTTAGTTGTTTTTTCAGAGTGAATACTATTCGGATCTATTGCTTCTTATATATATATTTCATGATTTCTATTCCAAGTTTTCTATATTTTCGAACGCTAAGAGGTGGTTGGCCAGCCCCACTAATCAACCCTGGATCCGCCCTTCAAGTTTATAAGGGCGGTATTTCGTGTGACTGTGCAACGGCACGGTTCGCGGCACGTCAYGGTCACGAAAACTCGCCTTCTAGTGATTCCAAATATAAATAAAGATTCAACAATACATCACCGCTATRCCACGGTACGATACGGCTATGGCGCGAAGCTCTATCATGATTGACCACATCTTGAGTACATGCTTTGAGCGTTTACTTTCGAACAAAACGACTAAGCGAAAATGGAAGTAAAATGAGAAAATGGAAGCTGCATTTGRCGCCGGATAGCCCTTTGTTCTCAAATACCGCATTCTGCGCAAAAACTAACCTCTATATAACAGAAACCTCTATACTGCGGAGACCCCTTTACTGCGGACACCTCTTTACTGCGGACATCTCTACATTACGGACATTTGCAAACTCCGCCCTTCAAAGATCGTAACATAGGTTCCAAAGAATAACCATAATTTGCATTGCATATRAAACTTCACAACTAAAGTGCTATCGATCAATTGAAGTGATTTGATGTCAGCCAACCGTTTGATTGATTGGCAGCAGTCTATCGTTGGACTAGTCACTTAAAAATGCAAATGATGTGTACAAGAGAAATATAAACAATAGAATACACAGTTAGAATGCCAATACCAACCTTTTTCGACACGGACGGTTTTATTCTACTGAAAGCAAYGTCGAAGTGCCTCTGCCCTATCCCAACGACTGAGAGCTTCGAGGGACCGGTTTCCTGCACACCTATAGACGCCACATCAATTCTTTCACGTAAAGCCGCCATTGATGCTTCCCTGACTAACGCAGAAAGATCTGCTCCGCTAATGTGGAAAAGAAAAAGATGAAAGGGATGAGAAAAACACCTGAATCGCATGATGATGTAATGGTTTGTGATAATAAGATCGCAATGATTGACAGCGAGAATGACGTCATTTGGTGATGATGAATCCATAGATCTACATTAAGTTACTTACGAATAACCAGAACTGTGYTCACTGTTTGCAATCTTTTCTAAGTTAACATCTGGAAGCAGTAATGGTTTTGTACCATTCTAAAACAATTAAAGCGCTGATTAAAAACATAACTAGCATTCGTGGAAATTTTGCTTTAATTTGATCCATGATTTGCCTGTGCTTGAAAATCAAATATAAACGGAATACAAACAAATAAAAGTTGTTAATATATATTGCATGTATTTTCCCATAGCCCCATCACTACACCGGTATGACTTTTTCGGAAATTTCAAACCGGTCCGGAAAATCTTTTGTTAGAATGCGGTACACATTTGGAATTTGAAATTTTGACAAGGTACAGTCCCATATTTCCCTATTACGTCTCCTCTTCTAAAAAATAAATCCAGCAAATTAGCAGTGAATTTAATCTAACTAACCTTAGTAATTGTGGTTAAGATGTCTTTTCGGTCATCTGGACTTGGCAAGCCAACATACAATATTTTATCCAAACGACCAGGTCTCAACACAGCTGGGTCAATGATGTCTGGAATGAAAATGAAATGGTTCCCATAAAAAAAAAACACTATTGATTGAAACTAACGTTAGACTTTTTAATACCTGGTCGGTTTGTCGCAGCCATAATGAAAACCTGTTTTCTTGCCTCTAGACCATCCATTTCTGTTAGAAGTTGATTGACCACACGTACACTTACCCCTGACTGGACAAAAAGTCCTGACAATGAGTGAAGTAAACATATGATTCGCAAACAAACTGTTCAAAGAAATCAGTACCTCAGAACTGCCAGCTCTTCTGGGACACAGTGCATCAAGTTCATCGAAGAATATGACACAAGGCGATGAATTTCTTGCACGTTGGAAAACTTGTCTTACGGCACGCTCGCTTTCTCCAACATACTACATAAAAAATATCATTCAATAAGGAAAGTCAATTTTAAATTTCTAAAGCACAGTAGACTTTAATTATGCAAAACTCACCATATTCAAAAGCTCTGGTCCTTTTACTGATATAAAGTTGATTCCCGATTCATTTGCAATGGCCTACAACAAAACAACTGGTTACATGCAAAAGGTATGTTTCACAAAATGAACAACTGTTCTTATTAGTTCTTGTCTTGGGGGAGACAAGTCTGAACATTATACAAAAAGACTTTTTTACAATACCTTTGCTAATAAGGTCTTTCCACATCCAGGGGGTCCTGCCAGCAGGATTCCAGGGGGGTGAGATAGACCAAGAGCTGAGAATTCCTCAGGATGTCGAACTGGAGCCTGCCAATGATAATATCATAGTGAAGTTGGTGCAATGCATGAAGATTTTTGTTCACACAAAGAAATTAGCTTTCTCCTTTCTTTGTGCTTTATGTAAGCTGTAACAATTGTGCAACAATTTGGTAAGKACACCACTCCCCTGGGCCAAATTTCCCAGACTCCATAACAAAAATTTACTAGTTYTGATAGGTATTGTTTTTGGTAATTTAAAAGATACTATTATAATCACCCATACCAGTATAGCCATTGTCAATTCTTCTCGAACATCTTTGAGTGCTCCMACATCATCCCATGTCACATCRGGTATCGTAGCAAAACCTTCTCTTTTGGCAGATGGCTGGACTGTATGTAAGGCTGCCTTTTTCAGAATAGAAAATAAATTCAGTCATATTGAGAAAACAGGAACCMCAAAAGAAGAAAGAAAAGCAGAAAGRAWGAGAGATGACCTCACRTGAGCCTAGTATTTCTCTTACTTTGAAATCATCCAATGAAATGGATAGTACTGCTAGTTGTTCATCTGTTAGAGGGGGTTGATTCTTCAACCATTCCATCACTGTTAAAAAAAGGAATTCATTTACTTACTTGTAGTTAATATACTGGTACATTTAATATAGGAGTTTTTAAAACAGGCAATGGCAATTGTTAGAGCAGATAAACACTGACATACCATGAAAACTCTGTGAGATTTGATCATTATCCCAAGTTTGATTGCTGCTATTTGTTGAAGAATTTTCTTCTTGTTTTGCTTTATCCTCTAAATCCTTGAAAACCCTGAAACATGCAGAAGCATTTGACTATTCAATCTGCACTGTATGCTTGTGTATGATCCATGATACACTGTATTAAGTCCTACCTGTTAACAGCTACCATTGCTGCTTCTCTGGTCAAAGCCATGAGATCAGCTCCAACAAATCCTGGAGTTAGACATGCAATGGTGGAAAAACTACAATCATCACATAGCTTGAGCTGCTTACACAGTACCTGTAAAACCCTGAAAAGATAATAAACGTAGACAGATAAAACTTATCATGCGCTAAGTGTAATTTAAAACAGGGCTAGATTATAACCACAAAGACAAACACATCAAACCATGAAGTTCATACACAACTTGCTTAAAGTTCTACCTTTCTCTTGCTTTCTGGTCAGGGATTCCCAGAGAAATCTCTCTGTCAAAGCGTCCTGCTCTTCTCAATGCTGGGTCAAGAGAGTCAGGCCTGTTTGTTGCACCAACTACAAGAACCTGAGCAGAAGGGTTGTTGTTCAAATCTGAGAAGGAGAGAAAATGCAGAAAGGTTTTCAAATTATTGAACATTGTCAAAATATATAATCTTGATGCCTTCTTACCATCCATACATGTTAACAACTGGGAGACAATTCTTCTTTCCATGTCCTTGGAGGCTGTTTCTCTTTTTGGCGTGATTGCATCAATCTCATCAATAAATACAACACATGGTGCTTGAGCCTTTAAATAGAATAAATAATAAATGAATGGATAAAATAATAAATGAGTAAATGAATAAATACATGATGGAATAAATGGCAAATGAAAACAAATAAGAATTGCAAATGAAATATATCAATTTCAGTCTACAAATCATTTTCATAATTACCACAGCATTGTTAAAAAGTTCTCTAACTTTCTCTTCAGATTCTCCTGAAACTCCAGACACAATTTCAGTTGCTGCCAGCTTTAGAAAAGGCAACTCAAGTTCCTATAATAGTAAGCACAAAGATAAGAAAAGGAATTAATTCATTTACATTACTATGACTATTAAATCTAAGATTAATCGAAGGATCCAAACACAACTTACCCCAGCTATAGCATGTGCTAACAAAGTCTTGCCACATCCTGGAGGCCCRTGCAAAAGRAATCCCCTGGGAGGAGTTATACCAAGTGTTGAGAACACCTCTGGATGTTGCATATGAATCAGCATCTTACARACTTGYTCAATTGTGTCCTCACAGCCTCCTATGTCAGAAAACTTGACAGTTGATACAGTCGCTGAAAACTTGCTTTCTTCTTCTTGTATACTGTYRTTGTTTTCTTGTCTTTTTCTCTTCTTCTTTGATTTCCTTGGATTGTCTGTTGAATCTGATTTTTCTTCAACGTCAATTATTTTTCTTTTATTTGATTGCGACTCTGAAGATTTCTAGAAATAAACACCAAATAATTGATTTGTTGCTATTTGTAAATTAATACACATGCAGTTATCAAAATATATTTTTGACCTTGCCCACAGGAGTCCAGATTTTTTTGTTTAATGTAAATTATATTAATCCCCCAGTAATCCCTAGAGACAATACACCATGGATACTAGCTGTATCCAAATAAATTCATTTTGCCAACTGAATACAAAATCTCTGGACTTTGGAGAAGTCCTTATTGTACTGACATATTGTCCGTAACGYCATTGTCACGTGATGTGTTCTACATGACACTCAACCTWGTTCACTTCGTACGACACATGTTATGTATGTGAGCTTAGTTTACTCTTAGTGATCAATAAAGCATTAGTTCAACCAAGAAACCTTACACTGCCCTCACTGATATTAAAAGAATATCAGATTAATCTATAAAACCATTACCTGAATATCCAATTCAGTCTTGTTTTCCTCTACAAGTAGATCTGTTCTAGTTGTCACTTGACCTTCAACACTCCCACCAATTAGTGTAGAAGACACTGCATCAGTTTGCCTCAAACCTGATTCTTTTTCCTTCAAATCATCTTGTTCAATTACATTATTAGTTTGAGTGTTATCCTCTGCCTCTGAAGATGGTCTTGACGTTGATAGCTTATACATCGACTGCATTGATTGGTTCATTAAATTGTTCCCCTAAACATCCCATAATACATTGCATAAGTGCCTTTTGAAGTCCTAAWAGGTAGTTGTCTAGTGTATTTAGGTTCAGGGACTTGGCTACTCAACAAATGACAGCACTCCACTACACGTATCTCAATTGGGACTTCACTAATTTCTCAAGATTTACGTTACCTTGACATTAATTATTTTATATAAACACCTAAATGAGTGCTCATACATTTTTCTTTAGTTTTCCATAGATGTGTTTTATCCACTTCTAATAAAAATTCRTCTGATTGAAATTRCTGTTTGCCCWTTATAACCAAACCTTAAGCTGTGGCTACACAAGCGATTTTTCGCTTGTGCAGGCGACACAATTTTCAGGTACRATGAAAGCTGAACATCAAATTTAAACTGTTTTTTGTACATATACCTCTTTATGGAKATTCAAATAAGTATTTGTRAGAATTTTTTTTATTGATACAGTATTGTCGCTTGTGTAGCACATCGTGCACTGGTGATTTTGAGAAAATCATGTCRCCTGCGCAAGAGAAAAATYGCTTGTGTAGCCATGGCTTTAAGTGACAGAAATCACCTACAGTTACTGTACATCAAATAAAATCCACATAAAATGTACAATGGTTAAGAGATATTTACTTGCAGCTCAATCAATGGTTTTTCTGTCAAGGAAGCTTCGCTATCACTGGTGTCTTCGTCACTTCTAATGATCTCTTCTTGCATATTATTATCTAAGAAGTCTGGCTTTTCTTTCCCTTGAAGGAATTTTTCTTCCAGTTTTTGAAGATACAAATCTTCACTGTCCCTCTTACTGATTGCTTGATAGGCTTAGAATAGGATCAATATTTAATTAAAATGAGACAAGAAATTATTCTTGACAAATATAAAATGAATATTGCCAAGAACTGTTGGCAATGTTTACCTTTTTGAACTGATGACTTAAATATATTTCTTTTYTTCCTACTGTAGTCACTACAATAATAAAAAAAAATAAAATTAGAGTTAATTTTAAAGGAGCTTGATRAAGTTTTGAACATCATATAATGTCCGGATTACATATGCACCTTTTGGCATTATCTACCTTCTAAAAAATATAACACAAAACACAAATAGTGATGAAGCAATAGTTCAAACTGCGACCATCATATTCATTACACATAACACAAAGTATTGAATGTGGTATAATTACAGTAACAAAACAATAAAATTGACAGAAACTTGACAGAAACATAATATATATTTTTGTTTTTTTTACTTATTCTATTATTGCAATAATGAGAATAATATTGCACCAGTCACTATACCTATATCTTGACTGCAGATGTGATGTCATTTCCTCCAGATCAGGAACATAACCCTTTCTAAACTGACTGAGGTACTGAAAGAAATAACCACATTTTGCTTAAGGTATTATTACCAAGAGAAATGATGAAATTTGAAAGAGAAGGAACAGGAAGTAATCTGATCACGCTCCAGTTATAAATAATATAATTGTACACAATGAAGGCAATGCCCCTTAGTGTGAAGGACTCTACGATCTAGCACAAAAAAAAATACAATTTACAATAACTGACATCAAACGTACTTGCTTTAATCGAGGAACCAGCGTTTTATCCATGATATAAACTCCTTTCTGTGAAGATCTTCTGCCATTGGACGGCGAATCAAACTTCCTCGTGGCCTTTCCCTTGCCGTTCGTTCCACGCATTGCAATCTAAATTAATCCTCGAGCAAAAAAGGCTTCTGTTTCTCTAGTTTTTATGMCCGTTAATCGATATTTTGAGAATATTTCATAGSCATTTTAGAGACCTCTCTTGGACGCCATTTTTGTTTTTGCACGTGGGTAATGTAGCCTCGCCAATATCTAACACAGGTAGTCCAAAAACACCAATTACATCATTTCTTTTTTGTCATATCATCATTTCAGTTTCTACTGAATTTTAATCATCTCCTAATATAGCTGATTTTAAGTATGTAAGCGCGTTTTTTATATGAAATTCCTTGTAACACTAGGCATATTTTTAAAAATACGTGTCCTTCCGGGTAAGGCGTATAAAGTCCCGTGCTGCTCAGCTGACCTTTGATACTATAGATGACACAACCATATAAAAGTGCCTTAGCAAAGCGTTTAATCTTAAAATTCAATACAACAAAAGATATCTGAGGTAACATGAGTAATTTCTGGTGGAGCACTCTTTGTGTGATTCAAATATTCTTTAACGTGCGATCACAAGAATGCCCTTCAAACAGTAAGTACTCGGATTTATTGCCGAGATGTCTTAATGTTTATTGCCGCAAGTAATGAACGAAAATTATTTACGAAAAGGTCACAATACACGAAGCCCATCTCGATTCATGCATGCATATGAATGCAATTATGCGCTCTGAAATGGTTGAAACAAAAGATTTGATTGACACCGAGTGGAAATTTAGATTTGACGTTTGCAAAAGTTCTAATGACGTTATTTATAGTTTCGTGGYCAAGCAGTTTCACGGTTTAGCAGGRSCTTGACTAAAGTAAGGACTGACGGAAGTGCATTCATTAGTATCCGCAAAACATTTTGTGAGAGTGAATAAATTGCACTAATCAAACCATAGACGAAAAGGGAGTTTACATTTAATTTGCTCAATTTAGTTCGGTAAAACATTCACCTTATTAATTCATAGCTTAGAAACTAATAATACATGAAATTAGCAAACGAAGATTCTCATTTTATATSCGCATTTTTTTCCTTCTCGTCAGTTCCAATTGTATACGTTTCACGCACTAAGGGAAGTGACCTATCAACATGCGGTTCAAAGACACACCCTTGTAAGACAATTGCAATTGGTGTACAGCGGGCGCAACATGACGCATGCGTCTACGTGGACGGAACTGGCTCCCAAACTGCTCCTTATGACTGCAAATCCTTCAGTGTAGATATCCATGGCGCTCATTTGAATAAAAGCCTTTCAATTATTGGAGTTCWGTCAATGGTACACATAAAATGCCAGGAGGGGTATTTTGATATTAACCTCAATAAATCAGTCAGTGACGCTGAGACCATCATAAAATTTACAAATATAAAGTTTATTGACACTACCTTACAAGTTCAAGATGCCAACTTATTTATTTATAATTGCATCTTCACTATTGCCAAACAAGCAGTGAGGCTTACTCAGGTTACCAAGTCTGTAAGTTTGTCGTTTATAAACTCGATATGCATGAATACTAGTTCTTGTATAACATTTGACGTTAAGCAGCGAGTTTTGCCATCAAATAGGATGTCTATTGAAGTAATAAATAGCTTTGTAGTTTCATCTTGGCTGACAAGTACTACTGGCTATGCATCAGGTCTACATGTAAAATCTACATCTGGTGAGTCAATGGCATGCCGAATTACACTGAAAAATGTCACGGTGGTGCACAATCTTTTTGGGTCGCACGGTTTTGTCTTTGTGAACTTGAAAAATGCCCTCRCTCAGCTGCAACTTGATAATGTTGTAGTATCAGAAAATAAACTAATAGCTGRAGTAAAGGAAATGAGAGTGATAACAGTCATCGCCTTTCATGYAGCACAACAAATGACGCATTCCACATTCCGGGACAATCCCGGTGGGGTTCTAAGAATAACTGCAGAAGATCGAATCACATCTGTAATAGAGGGTTGYTCCTTTGAATCAAATACTGGGACCAATCCATCAGGGCTGGTAACGTTCAGTGCTAAGCWGGTAGATATTACAATCGACTCAACAGTTATAACAAACGAAGGGCGCGGTGGCGTATTTGACATTGGTACAACAGATAACAGTAATTCGGTTCACAATGCTACCTTGATAATGAGAAACGTTACRGTTTTACGTAGTTATTGTAATTGCAAAGGAAGTGTGATATCTGTAACAGCAGACGCTGGTTCAATTATCATCCAAAACACCTCCACTCAAAATACTCGCGCTAAAGGGCGTGGTGGCGTTGTGTTCGTATACCTGAACAAAAACTCTCCYGGTCGATTCAACATGGAAATCTTGAACTCAACATTCASTYACAGCAAATCAGACGATCAAGGAGGTGTTTTCTTTGGTAACGGGGTTGMGAAACTCCACATGGATAATGTARTCATAGACTCAGGAATAACCTCAGGAGAACCAGGTGGTGCTGTGTACATCTCAAAGACACGTAAAGTAGCTCTAACTATTAATAATTCCATCATAAAGAATTGTTTTGGTGATAATGGCGTCAAACACAGGTATGGCCGCCAATACGGATCAGTTATGCATTTCTCCACAATGTCATCATTGAAGATAACTAACTCTTTGTTTGAGTCGAATCGAGGTCCATGTTTGAARTTCGGGTCACTAAATGCTAAYGTACTCCTAAGAAATGTTACGTTTAAGGAATGTGTTAGTTATTACGCTCCTGGAGGAGCTATATACTTTGATCTAACTGGACACAATATCACTATTGAATCGTGTAAATTCATTAGTAACGCCTCCCCGCATGGATGGGGAGGTGCTGTTGCTTATTATGACTTARACACTGGTGACAAAGTAATTCACCCCGGATGCGTCGATCCTAATAGTCCAAGCGGTATCACAAGAAAATGGAGCTACCACTCAAAAATAACCATCAAGGACTCTATATTTGTTAATAATTCAGCTATCAGCGGAGGCGCTTTGTATCTGTCAAGAGGTAATCACACATACCAGAGGTGTTCGTTTAGCGATAACTTTGCAAAACTTCAAGGTGGCCACATCTTTGTGTCACCCACATCAACGAGTCTTACMGTCACTAGTTCGACATTTTCACAGCGGCGATCAACCTGTTYCCTACAAATATATAGCTATCGCTTGCAGTCCTTTGGGAGAATGACCTTTTATTCCAAAACGTTTATCGAATCGCAAAGCATAGGTCCTGTGACAATAATCGATTCTAATTTAGAATCTAAATCTCACCAAGACGACACCGTGACCTTACTTGCAGTTTCTAAGAGCAACAATGTGAATTTCGGCACCAATAACAACACCTTGTTAACGTGTCCCAGAGGAAGCAAACTTGATATTCTTGACTTGACTACAACAATTGACACTCAATATCACTCCCGCAACTGTTACATYGCTATAGTTGCATTACAGTTCACCTGTGAGCCATGCTGGGTCAATACCTATAGTCTACTCAGAGGACGAAGCATTGGAAAGGATGTAGTTGGCGGTTTTAAGTGCTTGCCATGCCCTTTCGGTGCCGAGTGCGCACACGGCATCAAATCTAAAGCGAACTTCTGGGGATATGAAGTCGAAGAGAACCCTAAGGAGCTGGCCTTTACGCTTTGTCCACTGGGGTACTGTAAGCAGCCTTCTAATCAAGACTATTTGGACTATAATAGTTGTCAAGGAAACCGGACTGGATGGCTTTGTGGCCAGTGTAAGGACAATTACAGTGAAACTCTCCTTTCGCCCTMTTGTCGCCATGACAGCGAATGTCAAGATACGTGGGTATTTGGTATGACCGTCATCATGGTAACGCTTATGGCATTGTACCTTGTTCATAAACCAGGGCTTTTACGCGTGCTCCCAAGGCAAATCCTCTGGTTCAGGAATCAAGATGATAAAAATCATCAATCCAATGAGAATTTTGGCGGGGGATTCCTTAAGATTATATTCTATTTTTACCAAGTGGCAAATTTGCTTCTCATCACTACTTCAAGCAGTAACATTATCAAGTCGTACTTTTTGCAGCCTGTGTTGGGGATTTTTAACTTTCATTTTCACTTCTCCTCAAATGGTTTACTTTGTCCTTTMCCTGGTCTTACTGCTGTAACTAAACAGCTTCTCTTTGCCAGTCAAGTGTTTGGAGTCGTCTTCATGGTTGCTGTATGCTACTGCTGCCATAGCATAGTACGCAAGTACCGTTCTAAKCCACCTCCAAACCTCGGACCATATCTTGGAGCTGCCCTGGAAACAATGTTGTTGGGGTATGCCGTATATGCAACCACTGCCCTTCAGCTGTTACGGTGCAATTCGTTCACTGGGCAATCCAGGCTGTTCATTGCTGGAAATGTCCTTGTGTTATCAATGGTGGCAATATGYTCTCATGGTATTTGTTGGTGCTGCTGTCTTTCCTTTTACCATAACTCTCGGCCTTGGCTCTCATTGGTTGCACAAAGGAACCATTTCTCTTACAGAGTTTTTCCTTGGTTGTGTRCTTCCTCTACCGTACCTCTTATACAAGCTTCTGTCATCTTTGYTTAAAAACGAAAAGGTAATCCAAGAGCATCCTGAATGGACAACATCAGTCACTCAAGTACTGATGGCACCGTTCAGAACGCCGCAAAGCAACAGCTTTGGCGCTGTCTACTGGGAAGGCGTCCTAATATTCAGACGACTAGTTCTCATTCTAATCTACGTGTTTGTA